TTAATTTCCCTTCTGTTTCTGACTTATTACCCTTTCTGTGTATGCAAACAGTTAAACGACTTGTGTCATGCTTTTGATCGTAATGTTAGGAAGCGTTAGCTGTAGCTTTCTGTTTGAAAAGCTTCTTCAGTTCTGTCTCTTGCTATTCAAGTTTTTTAATCTACTAGTCCTAACCTTGGTGCATCCTTTGTGAGAACAGTCCTGAAAATTGGCTTTGGATGTCCTGAGAACATATTCTTATTTGCTAAACAAATGGCCGAGAGTCTCCTGGGCTGTTAATATTCTTGCAGAGCACAGAATGCGCATCCAGAATGGATTTGTGAAGCACATGCGCACCCAGTTCAATTTTGCTGGTCACAGGGACTCGGGTATGGGAACCTGAAGTGAAATTGGTGGAGCAATTTGTTATGCAGCCTTCATCCCTGGCAGAAGGCTTTCTTGCTGCTGCGTGAGAAAGGCGTGCACAGAAGCTCTAAAAAAGACTCAGTCTTAGTGCAAAAAAAGATGCTGTTTCTACAAGCATTTTGTTTTGGGCTTGCATGAAGGTGTCATTCTTTGCGTTATTTTTGTGTTTCGGGAGTGAGGAGATACTGTTATCTTTCCTGTCTGTTCTCTTCATTACTTTTCCTGTGCCAGAAGTGGGGAGAAACCGTGGCTTTGTCTTGAAATGTCCAAAATTCAGTTGTGCCATTGACTTTAAAGTGGGAGTCTAACCTTGGAAATGATTTATTTGAAGCAAGAAAGAGAAAGTAATGTCAGGTACTCTACCTGAAATCGTGAGCTCTTGTGTTAGCTGTAGTCAGACACAGAGCGGTTTGATGTGTTACAAGGTGAAGGTGTCACTGGGAGATGCTCAGCAGGTGGAATGCAGTTTCTCTGGTGTAACCAGTGATGGTAGAAGCAAATTCTGTAGTTTTTTTGTTGTGTTAAAGCCGTGACTCCGGTGCAGGTACAGCAATTGCATTGGCCACAGTGAGGGAAATTTCATTGCTGTCTTGTGGGGGAAAAGCTTTTTTACATGTGCTAGAATCTTTTAAAGAGCATAAAAGGAGGGAAGGAAAGTCGTTTGTCTGTAGTCCAAGACTGACCAGAGGCAGCCATCTCTGGATAGAACAGTGGGCATATGTGACCAGGGAGGACAGCTGCCAGACACATCTTTAATTGTTTGCTCACTTTTGACTCTGTGTAACAAAGGGAGGACATAAGTGTGTTGGATGGTCAGACGTACATTGTGCGGCATAAGCAGGGTGGCCACATTGCTGGTTTGTCCTTCAGCTGTCATTGGTGATGGTGTTTTTAATCGTCATTGTGATTCTGTCGTTGCTGCATCACAAGTTTGTGAAGCTGATCCTTAAAACTTAGTGTGGGTTGATAACTGAAATGGAATATTGAATGGCTTCTGTGGATGCTCTTTAACAGACTTTGATAATTGTGGTCTTGTTCTGTAGAGGCCTTATTGTACAAGTGATGTTCCTGTGAGATGGAATTTTGTGGTGTGGTTAACTGTTCTCGTAAGTCAGGTTTCTATTTCAATTCATGCTCTGCCATTGGAATGATGTTGCTGTAGGTAAAATATTTTTGGATGTGGAAAATAACTCTCCTAATGAAATGATGACTCCTCCTCTGCCTTATTGAGCAGACTGTCTCAGTCTCAACGCTTGTGTTTCCACTATCACTCAAGTTACTGCATTGAGTTTGGCAAATGACAGTAAGGTGCTGCTCTGCCTGTGAATGGCAGATGTGAGAAAAGGAGGATTTTCTTTTTCCGATACTGTTTACTAAAGTGGTAAATTCTCAGGAAATGGAGGAGTTGATGTACATGGCAAAGCTCAGATAGCCTCCTGAGGATTGGTAAGATGAATAAGGTCCTGGTTTTGGGTAGTGTCTTGTATGTCATCATAGTTAGGGGATATGCCAAAGCTATAAAAATACTTATAGAATTGAATGAAATCAAAATGGGATTTTATGTTATTTGCTGCCCTGGGTTGCAATGCTGAGTTAAGAGGTCAGGGAATATAGTGCTGTACCAACAGACCTTATTTTTTTTATCTCTCCGGTAAACTTCAGTGGGTGATAGCATCTCCTAATGGGCACAGCTGCTGCTGAGAAGGAAAATTGTACATCCTAGTAGAGCAGTATATTTCACTTCAGCTGGAAGGAAACCTAGCCAATTCTAGTTTTATATGCCTTACACTTTATAATAAAAGGTTTATTTACAGAAGAGGTATATGTGTATGTGTCCTTGGTATAAGACTACAGCCTTGGACATTAATTTGTATGTCTTGCCTGCCTTTTTTTTTCCCCCCACCCCCTCAATACCCAAACGGGCATTTCCTAATACCTGCAGGATTTATTGTCAGCCAGTAACATTAAGGACTTAGTTCTTGGACTAATTATATCCCCATTGGTGGTGTGGTTTGTAGGAAAAGAGCTTATGTGGCTTTTCTGGCCCTTTAAAGCTCTTTCCTTACTCTGATTACAGACTTGTAGCCCAAATTTTCTAGACGCGCTTTCACTGTCAGAAATAGAGCAACTGCAATTAGCCCTTTCTCAAGTATGTCAGAATGTCTTAGCTTGTGAAAAGTTCCCTTAATACATTTTGTTGTACATCAAGGTAAATATTAATGATGTTTTGTCCCATGTGCTGCTTTTGACAGTTTCAATTGGAATGAAATCTCTTCCTTGAGTTCTTTTTCTCTCATCTTCCCTCATCCAGTCAGGCTGCTTTTCCAGTATGTTCAGTGGATCTTGGAAAGAATCAAGCATGAGCACCATAGAGTCAGAGATTCCTGACCAAAATATTGATGCAGAAGGTAAGTGGGAACCTTTTATTTTAACATAAACTCTGAAGGGAGAGGTTAAGTTGAACCTGACAAAAAATAACTGGAAATATATAAACTTTTTAAAAAACAATTTTCAAACTAGTAAATAAGAAACTTGAGAGAATGAGATCTGTGCTCGTTCAGTTTTGAGCTTAACTTGGGACACCACAACAGTTGAATTCCTTTTTGTACCTCTGAAAAGCAACCACTTGTTTTGGCATTGAGGCTCTTGAAATCAATGGATGCAACTCTTGTGGAGACCCATGTGTTGGAGTGTGAATCACATCTTCATCCATCTGCTTTTGAAAAGCTGCTGAGTGGAGTCCTCACAGGGGACTGACATGAGCTGGCAGAACGTTTTGCTCTGGTTCCAAGCACCACCAAGTGAAGCAGTTTTTCTGAAGAATTACAGAGAAACTTGTAACATCATAGTCATATCTCAACAGGATGCCAGTGATCAATTGCAGAGAAGGATCATGAGGTTGAGCTTCATTTTATCTAGTTTTACTGCTCTCCACATTGCTCCATGGCATGACTTGGTGGCTGGTTTAAGATGAATAGTTTGTTTAAATAGTGAAAGGGACTGTATTTTATTGGTGAATGCCATGGTTTGTGTTTTCTGTTTCTGTCTGTGCTTGGGCTGGTCATTACTAGCTTTTTATCCACAGCAAAATAAGACTGTAGGGAATGTGTGCACTCAAGTGTTTTGGTTACACTGAAGGATTCTTTTAGTTATCCATGCTCAATGTCCTATCTTTGTGTGACATTTGGACTCTTTTCAGCTCTACAGGTGGCTTTTGGCTCAGTGTATAGAGACAATGTGTTAATAACACCCAGTCAAGTAGTTGCACTTTTAGCAGCAGCCTGCATGCTACAGCTTTTAGGTAATAAATATGTAATATTTTGATACTTTCTTTTCAGATCAAGATAACAATTCCTAATATACTCACACGCATGTACTGTTTTACCCAGAGAAATGAATCATCTTTTCAGAATAAGTAGGGAAAAAACCCAAATGTAATGCAGTGGTTTGATTTTAAAATGCTATGACTAAGATTCAGTTGTAATATTAAGTGCCACTTTGAGAATCCTATCTAGAAGTAGATTAAAGTATGTTTGAACAGTTCATTTGTTCTACCCTGAAAGTATTAATTAAGCTTCTCTTTCATGCGGTGTATTCTTAAGAAAAAACTATTCTTCTGAGGAGTGTTGGTTTAACTTTTCTGGCTAGCACAGCATACGTCACTGTCGCACTTGTGAGTTTGGTAATGGTTCAGGCACGAAAATTTTGCACAGTCTTTGACATTTCTTAAAAAAAGGGAAATTAAAACTTTAAGTATTTGTCGGTTTTGTCCTCCCCACAGATGACTTAATCCAGCAATGTGGAGAAACAATGAAGGAAACAATTAATGCAAAAATGTGTGCGGTTATTATAATTCAGCAGAGACATATGAGTTAACCTCTGTGGAAGAAATGTAAGAATTACTTTTTCCAAGCTGTTTTGTACGTTGCTAATTAAAAGTGGGAATTTACAAACAGTAAAATAATGCCCAAGTTTTGGTTTGGGTTTTTTTTGTTTGTTTTTGGGGGTTTTTTTTAAAGCTATTTGACTTGGGCTGTGCTTGTCCTATTTAGTTTTTCAGTTTCTACTATAATCAGTTACCTTCAAATTGGTGTAGATGATGGTAGATTGATTGGCCTGTGTTGTGAATGAATTAATTAGTAAAGTACATTAGTAAAGACAGTAAGTTTGATCTTCAGTGTGACAATGAAATAATACTTCTGATCATTGGCTGTTTTATCACAAAGCTGCTTTAATATTCAGAACTGAAGCTTAAATTTATCTTAATTAGGAGGTATAATGAGACATTTGGGAGCAGAATGCTGAGGTTAGTGCTAACTGCTTCCTTCTGCTGTGAATTAGTGTGTTCTCAGAGCTTTCTGTGCCGTTAATAGTACTTTGAATTTAGCTTTCACTGTACGCTGAGAGAAACTAAATGCAACTTTAAGAGATACAGAAAATCTTGGAAAAATTGGGGGTAAATTTCAGGTTTTTGAAATAATTCTCCTATTTTTACGCATTCATGTCTCAGATTAAAACAGTATTTCAAAATCTTGCAGTACATAATCAGGCTTTGTGAGCTTGAACAACTGTTGCAGGAATGTTGACATATTTCAGAAAAAAATGAAGGTACTAATTCCTTGCTTTTGATCTAGGTGCCTCGAATGGCTCTTGAATAACCTTATGACTCAGCAGAGTGTTGAACTCCTCAAAGAACTCAGGTACAGGCTTCAGTTAATGTTGAGTGATTTCTTCCAAAGTCTATAGCTCACTACAAATAACTTTTGAGGCTATTGATTGTTGATTGTTACCTACCTTGCTTTCTTGGTTTTGTCTGTACTGTCTCCTGGAACTCATATGATTTTATTTTTTTTCCCCCAGTATAAACATAATGAAACAGCTGATTAGCTCCCCTGACTTGTTTGTAATGCAAGTGGAAATGGATGTGTGTACTGTTCTCAAAAAGGTACTGAGCAAAGGGTCTGGCTGGGGCTTTGTGAAGTGGAACCCTCGAGTAGTAGTTACTGAAAATATTTAATAGAGTATCAGAATCTTTGTCGGAATTAATGCGTTATGAACATGTCCCTCTAATAATGCATGTGTTCCTTGTTTGAAACCTTCTTCAATTAACTCACTGGAGTTTGTTTCTTTTACCTAGTGGCTGTTGCTTCAGCTAGTTCCTTCTTGGAATGGGTCTTTGCAACAACTCTTGGCCAAAGCTGATGCCTGGTTTGCCAGCCATAGGAGAGGTAGGGATTATCTGGCATGGGATTAACTGTGACCTTGCTTAACTGATGCGAAGTTGGTGTTAAGACACAACAACTCTAAAGGCACTCAAAGGTCACAAAAAAAGGGATAACTAGTTTTGGCCTATATAATTTCTGATCTTCTCCTCAGATATGCATAGGAGTACACTAAGGCCATGTAGGTATTTGCTGCAGTGTCAGGCCTTTTTTGTTGTCGAAGCTCTGTGCATCAGCAGGGCGTTTAACTTAAAGCAGGCAGAC